AGCCTGGAGATGGGAGGTGATTTGCAGACCCTGGCCCAGTTTTTCCTACAGATTTTTGAGGCTAGCATTACTGAGTCAGAGTTCACGAGGTTGACTTTGGACTCTGTGTGGAGCAGGGGGATCATGGTGGGACAAGTAGCCACGGTCCCATCACAAAGATAAGACAAGAGAGGAGACATCTCGTTCAGAATCCACATACTGTGTTGTTGTGCAGACAGTAATAATGTCATCTGTGTGGTCCAGAACTGAGCCGGGAGAACACTGTCAGCCCCTGGTACAGGGTGTTTCTTCTTAGACTCTGGGATAATGACCTCAGCTGGACTCAGGGAGGAGAATAGCCTGTCTGTGCTCACTCCTGAGCCGTTCTGACTCCAGCCTTGAGCTACCGCCACCACCACCAGTACACAGGACTCTCTTTTTTTTTCTTGTCTCCTGATAGAAAGTTTAAAGTACATAAGCATGTCCTTCTCAATACAAATATTTTTAACTTAATCTACCTACGTCTATTTCTTTACTCTCCTCCTTCCCTCGTGGCTTTGGCACTGCAGGTTGAGCATTTTCTTGAGCAAGTTGTGAGCTGGTTTCGTTCTCATTGACTTGGGACTCTTGAGCAGTTTGTCTTCCAGCACAGTCCTAGTAAGTGACGGCTGGTATGACAGCGGCTGTGCCCAGGTGGCTTTTGTGCTGATGAATGGGACTCGTGTGGCTGAGGCACGGACGGGCTCCATTCCATTCTCACTAGCGAACTCCACAGGGAAGCAGCCAGCTTCTCCACTACACACCCTTGCTTCCTTCTAGCTACTTTCACTTGGGGCTGATAGTAAAGTTGATGTTCTGGGAGTGTGAAATGCACTACATCTTAAGGACGATATGTGAATTGTGTGCATTGACACATGTTAAAACGCTAGTATTTAGCGGTCACACTTTCTTACAGCGTCAACTTCCTCACTGCGGTGGCAGAATCCCTGGCAAGACCTCCCAAGGCCAAGCCTCTGGCCTTCATGCACGGGTGGAGACAGGCTCACTGCAGCCCACCACACCCGAAGAGCTCTCGGCAGCTGATGGCCACTGAGGGAGAGAGAGTCGGTTCTCTCTAGGGGTGACCTTCCTCCCACAGGTCAACCCCATGCTTACACACATGCATATTTGGGTAGCACTGTTTTTGGATTTGGGATTATTTGGAGGGAGGCATGAAGTTGGGAGGGAGAACATGGTAGGTGTATTCCCAGAGGAGTTGGAGGGTGAATATTGATCAAAATACTTTGTATATGTATGTCATTCTCAATGAATACATTTTAAGAAGTTTTAAATAAAACTGAGGAAAGGTTTATTTGGTTCTTAGTTCCGTCGGACCCAGTCTTTGGCCCTTGGTCCTTGGCGCCCTTGATTATGGGTCTTTCCTGGTGGTAGGAGACGCGGGACGGGACTGGGGACCCGATGTTGTAGCCTTCAAAGGCATGTCCCACTGCTTTTCCCTCCAACAAAGCTCTTCCTCTTCCATTTCCAGAGTAAGCTGCTGGCTGGGAGGCAGGTGTTGGGCACAAGAGGTCCCAGGAGCATTTCATAGTCTCCCTACCCCGACAACGACCAAAATTAGTTTGCTTCTTTCCTTTGGACTTGTCAACCTGGATCTTGCTCCATTTGAAGTTCTGTGTACTGTTCTCTCTGTGTTCATCTAGCAGGACGGCCGCACACATGGCATGACCAACATCGGGCAGGTAACCCTGTGGGGTCAGTCCTTTCTCTGCAGTCTGTCCAGCAGCACAGCACACCTGGCTCACTTGATGCAGATCAGCTTTCTGTGCTGTGCCTGATGCAGCCCTGCCAGGAACCCTTCCTCAGATGGACAGACTGCCTCCCCTTCAGGTCAGCTGCCCCACTTCCCCTTGCCCTGTAGTTCATTCCTGTTGTCTTGGGTACCCAGAAACCCAGACACTTTCTGGAAGAGAAGTGTCTGCTAACAGACTTCTACAATCCAGAGTTTATTCACCAGGCACTTCTGCTGTGCTGGGCACTGCATTAGATAGCTACCATAGCAGTGACCAAAGCCTAACTCCTGGGAACTTTCATACTGATTGGGTCACAGTCACGGATAAACAAGGGATTGTACAGGTGTCACCTCATCAGTGCTGTGGAGGAGGTGATGGAGACAGGTTCAGGGAAGGTAGGCTAGTCGGGGTTTTTACACCAGTCACCCGATGTGCTGCGCTTCCAACCCCTGCTGCGATTACCGTCCCAATTCCTACCTCCCGTGTTCTTCCAGAATACACACTTCCTCTGCTGTTGGTCACACGTGTTTTCTAGGCAGTTTTCCTGTGCTCTGACCGGTCCTCCTGAATATCGGATGAAGGAGACTTGAGAATGGTGCCAGATCTGGGTCCCAGTCTGTGTGGCTCTCGGGCTGTTTGGCCGGGTGCCTCCTTGCACGGGCTGCCACTGCACCTGTCGTCCTGGCAGCCCTGGCAGCCTCAGATCATGGTCGACAACTCTGAGGTCACTTTAAACCAAGGCTTCTGCACAGCATGTATTCTGGTAGACCAGTATTTCTCTCAGAGTTTCTGACCAGTTCACAGCACAGTGTGGGCTGGATAAGGTTTGCACCTGCCTCTACGTGTCCCACGTAAGAAAGCAACAGTCTGTATAGTAAGTGTTTACCATTCAGAATTCCTTCCTATTGGTGAAATTATTAAGGCCACTCCACGTAGTTAAAAGGTTTATTTAGTGGGGTAACTTACAAATGAAGGGATAGGTAGGTTGCAGGGTCTGGGAAAGACGCAGTGCAGTCCGGCGGTGTTCTCTGGAGAACTCTGCTCGGTCTACCTCCAGCGTCCAGGGTCCAGGAACCAAGAGAGGCAGCATATCCAGATCTCAAGTCTTCAGGGTCCTCTCGGCCCCACTTTGTAGGCGTGACAGTTACCGAAGCCTCAATGGGGGTTGGAACTTCCAGATCAAAGCTGGAATGGCTACCCACTACACCTTCCACCTCTGCTTTCTAGTTTTGTTTGGATTAAATATCGTTGCTAATGATTTGGATTCCTCATAAGTGAGTAATTAACACATTTTTGTCAACTAACAACAAAAGGAAAGTGGGGGGTATTCCAAGTGGGACTCCTTGTGGCGAGACTGTGGCACTTTCTAAATGGTTAGTACCAAATTCGAGGTCCTTATTGTCTTCTGTTTTTAAAAATGCCTCTGAGAGCCAGGTGGTGATACACACTACACTACAGAGGCAGAGGCAGAAAGGTGGAGAGTTCGAGGCTAGCCAGGATCTTGACACAGAGTTTGAAGCCAGCCTTGGCTACATAGCAAATCTACCACAAACACAGCTCCAAAGCATGTGTGGTCTTTCTTGCCTCTGCTCTTGTCTTTAGTCAGAACAGTGGGACATACCTGTACATTTAATGTCAACACTTGTTGGGGGTGATCCCAGCCCTCCCCCAGTCTATATGAAGCATACCTCAGGATTAAAACTGACAAGGCATCACTACACTTCAAATAACCTGTTTGATGGACAGGAGAGGGAAGCCGTTGCTTGTGTACATGACTAACACTGTATTATGAATTCTGTGGCGGACAGTGCTAGGGATCTGTGACCCAGGATGTGTTGTCCATGTCACAGAGATTGGTAGTCTTGGAGAATGGGGGCTGTAGCTTAAATACTGGCTGTGGCCAGTGCTCTAGAATATTGGCTGATCGATGACTGCCCAGTGAGCAGCGTGTGTTCCCGACAAGAAAGAGCTGGAAGAATTTCACCATGAAGGTTTTTAAGTTTTATTTGCTTAAAACTGAAAATTCCATTACAATTCAAATTGACGTAGGAGTTCTTTAGAGCATAATGGTTTTGTTGAGTATTTTGTTGTTGTTGTTGGTAGCTGTGATTTTTCTCTTTAAATTTATTTCCTATGCGTGGGTGTTTTGCCTGAGTACATGTCAGTGCACCACATGCGTGCCTGGTGCCTGCAGAGGCCAGAAGAGGGTGTCGGATCCCTTAGAACTGGAGTCGGGGTGGTTGTGAGCCACCATGTGGGTGCTGGCAGTGGAAGGCAGGTCCTCTGGAAGAGCAGCCAGTGCTCTCTACTGCCAAGCCTTCTCTCCAGCCCCTTGCTTTGTTTTTGGAGACAAATTTACCTCTCTGCTCATTATCCTCTTGCCTCACTGTCTCAGTGCTAGGAATATAAGTGTGGGTTCCAGTACTTCCTTTGATTGTTACAGGTAAATGTCTCTTAGAAGGCAACTAGGAAACACCTGCTATAGACAGCTGAGCTGGCCGACCCTTGTCCTCCCCCACTGCAGGACCGCTCTTCTGATCCGAGTGGGTGGGTTTGGACCCCTGCCTACCAGGCCTGGCTTCTGAATGCCTGAAATCCAAGCTGGAGGCCCTTGCTATGGACAGCACTGTCCATCTTGCTGCTTCCAGAGCTCTGCAGAGGCCTTGAAAATGTTCCTCTGCCAAGGTTTACTTTTTAAAGAGTCTTCCAGTATATAGGGGTTCTTTCCATGTCAGTGCCTTAGGGGAGTTGGTATGTGTAATACAGGGCCTCGGCTTTCCTTCCATTTTGATCATTTGTTTGCATTTTCCCAGTAGTTTTCGGAGATCTAGTTTGGCATGTTGTGTCCAGCAGTTAGAGTGTGGTGGTTTGTTAGATGGCAGTATGGCGGTGAGGTTTGAGTCAGGTAACAGAAGTAGATATGCCAGCACACAAAAGGACATAAGGGGTTCCTTAAAGGTGAGGTGATCTGGCCTTGTCCTGGGCCCAGGAGGTGAGGGAATGACATTCCCTGCGGTGCTGAAAACAAAGGGCTGGTTTATCTGCACACAACTTACCAGGGGTCAAAACAGCAGAGAATGGGCGTGACCCTGCTGTGCCCTGTCTGTGACAATGCACACTTTTGCAATGTCTCTCTGTATGTGTGTGCCTGTGCTCAGGTCAGTGACAACATCTTTTTCTTTCCGATGTTACTGGTATTAAAATTAACCACTTTTTAAATTTTTTTTCCAGAACAAGCCTGCCTTCGCCCATGTTCTCCAGAAACGACTTCAGCATCTGGAGCATCCTCAGAAAATGCATTGGGATGGTGAGTTAGCTTCTGTTTCCTCACAGCGTTGAGTGGCTGCCTGTTGATTGCATATCCTTAGGAAGGGGGTCTGGAAAGGTAACATGGAAGTGTGGCCTAACAGTTGTCAAAATACCCACGAGAGTAAGAAAGTCAGCCTTCCATTAGCTTTTTTTTTTTTTTTTTTTTTTGGTTTTTCGAGACAGGGTTTCTCTGTGTAGCTTTGTGCCTTTCCTGGAGCTCACTTGGTA